CCCTCGGAGATGATCACAGGAGTGCGCAGAACTAAATAAATGAGTCGTTTCCGGAGGGGAGCGCACAGCCGCGCTGCGTTGGATGCCTCCCCAAGGACGCAGACGCACTCCCCCTTCTTTCACGCTGCTCAACTGGGAAGTGGAATTATAAAAAAGGGGGATTTTTTTTGTGCTTAGGAGGCTGTTTAACCTGCCGAGGCTGTTACTTTTCTGCATCACACTTATTACTATTATTTATTCGGATTTTTGGCTCACGTTGGAATAATCGTTTGGAGCTGCTGCGCGCGTTCGTTACGCGGCGCCACAGCCTGCATGGGATGGGAGTCTCTGTTGGCTGAACCGTGTAAGAGCGACCCGTGTAATAACCCATTCAGCAGGCCTATTTCACAAAACATATCTGTTACTCTGCAGGATTATTTAATGGATCAAGCTGAGCCGAAACTTTCATAAAGCAGGTAACTTTTGCTGGTGTATTTTGTTTTTAATTAACAAACTTTCTTTAGTTTTATCCGTATAGAAACGGCACAAATTCATCCTTATACACAAAACATTGACTACATATTAGTGACTGATAGGCAGAAGCAAAACAACAACAACTCATATTAATGTACTGAACATCAGTAGAAAGGTATTTGGAGGTTGTTTTGCCACATTGCCTATTTTAGGACACCTGCTTGTGTATTCCCCGACTTCCTTTCCGTGTTTTGATTCATGATCATTTAATTGGCCAATAGGATTCAAAACACCATGACTGGTTAATATTTTAGAGACACAGTTGAATGGGATTGACACAGAAGACAGCGATAATAAACTTTGATTTAAAACAGCCACTTGCTAACCTAATTGCTAGTTTCACTTGTCTTATATACAATAAACACCACCCCAAATTAATTATTCATTTACATTTTTATACAATTCTATAAATTGAGAAAATAATTTGCTACATAGGGCTTGATTACGATTGTTGTTTGAGTTTTTTTACAGACTCGGTTCATCAGAGATAAATATAGGACAGGTGCTACTGTTTTGATTTTGACTATGCTGTATGTATAAAAAGAGAAAAGGTCAAGCTTCTACAATTCTGTGGTCTCTAACTTGTGTTCTTGCCATTGACAGGAAGTCAAAGATTTTTTATTTTCTGTATTAATTCCGTCTTGTTTTCTGTGATTTGTGTGTTTTTAATTTGTTAATGGAAAAGCTAAAAATGACCAAAATAAAATAAATATAGGCTATACTTTTGTTCTGATTTAATG